TAATGTCAAGGATGTCTCTATATATATATATATATATATATATATATATATATATATATATATATATATATATAAAACAACTATGTATTGGTTTTGCCTACCCATTAAAAGAACAGGTCATACAAAAAAAAATAAAAAATTCTGTAATTTACTCACAACATGTCATTCCAAACCATATGCTGTTTGATGTCCCTACTAAATGTATTTTCACCCTCAGTTTGAACCATTAATAATAGCCATTCAGCATTACAGTATAAGAGAAAACCATTCTTTTTAACATTTAACAGGCTTTGAAAAATATAACAACTTGAAAAAATATAACAACAGCTAAGCGAATATAAAACAATCTTCACATATATTATAAACTGAATATGCATAAACTATACATTGAATATAAATGTATCTTTATTTAATCTACAAAAGTTAATCAGTGAGCAGAGCAGTGAGTGATTTCTCGTTTTTCTTCGAGTTCTTTGATTTATATGGATGACACAGACTGCAGTAGGTTTACTTAAAAACAGCGCAATTAATTTTGAACTGTTAGTTTACAGCCCAAGTAATATAAGTTTTTGGCTTAATTTAATTGTTTAATTAATTGACTCTTTCTGAATTGTTGAATAATCTTTGCCATGTGAGCCCTTCACTTCTGAATTGATAACTGCATTTTAGGATTATTTTTCTTATATAGATTTTAAAAAAAAATTTTCATATACTTTGAACTGTGCATTTGTGAACAGTTAAAACCTTGCACTGATTGAATGATATTTTGCTTAAAACAAATAGCTGTTCTGTTGAATGACATCTTGCTGTTTGTGTGCTAATATTTCACCCATTTTCCATTGTAGCGGATTTAATAATTTGCTTGGCACCCTAATTAAGTCAATTCCACTACACCTTACATTCAGCGAGAATACACAATGCTGATGCACTCCAAAAACTGAAAACACACACAACAGAAAGTACTTGTGTGTGTGTGTGTGTTAGACTTTTTAAGTAGTTTTAAATAATAATATATAGTATTGCTGCTAATAATATTAAATATACATTTTAATGAATATTTTTTACTTCAATAAAACCAGTTAATTTGGCTGTAACCACATTAATCAAATTTTTTTTATTTTCCATTTTGGCAAAAAAAATCTGTATTCATTATAAAAATGGAATTACAAGATTTTATCAATTTACATGGCTTTTCTAGTTGTGTATATGTGTATATATAAGGCTCACATATACATTTATATTTAGTCATTTAGCAGATGCTTTTATCCAAAGCGACTTACAAATGAGGGACTATATAATTCATATAATAATATATGCAGTGGGAACCCTGGTTCTTCAACGATAAAAAACATTGTGTTTTGAGGTGGTGAATTACATTTAGAGATTCCTTGATTTTTTTTGTCATTTTAACTTATTTTTAATGCTTGTTTTTTCTTATTTTAAGTCATTTTGAGGCACACTTTGAAATTTGCTGAGGCCCTCTAATGGGCAACTGGGCTCTATTTTAAGTGTTATTTTTTTGGGAAATACCCCCACTTTCTACATTCACTTTAAGACTTATTTTCTTTTTAAACCATATATATAATCAAAAATTGCAACATTTCCAAACTGCATTTTGCAGTATGGTGGTGCAATAGGACAAATCTGTAATTTACAGTAGAGCCACTAGCTCACATGCATTTACCATTCAAGGTGAAATGCATTTACTTTCAAATGCCAGTAACTCAATCATTTAGAAAATAGACACAGGACCACGATCTCATGCAGCGTTCGCAAGCAGACAAGCTACTAATTACAGAGCTAACGACACAACACACAGAGCTCCTCACAGGTGTGGATCCCAGTTTACCTCTTCCACACACAGATAGGCTACACCTAGAGGAACGAACACTTTTGTGCAGAGATTGCGCTTAGAAGATGAAATGGATGTCTTGGGTGTATTTTTTATTTTCCCCCCAAAATATCTTATTTTATTGCAGATGTTTTCCCTTAGATTTCTTAGAAAAATATACAGAATTATTGACACATAGTAGAGATTTCATATTGTGTACATACTGCAAATATGAGCACAGTTTGAGATACTTCAGAGATCGGAAACTCCAGAAAGATACTTTTTTTTTTCTTAGGAGAAACATCTGTGAAGCAGGTGACTTCAGCAAAAGTCTCTGATC